CATGTTCCTGAATAAGTGCGAGGGGGAGCTGGGCGAGCTGCGGAAGCCGGGGGACGGCGAGGGCACGCCGCCGGGCGCCGCCGAGGAGGAGCAGCCCAAGAAGAAGCACCGCAGGAACCGCACCACCTTCACCACCTACCAGCTGCATGAGCTGGAGCGAGCTTTCGAGAAGTCCCACTACCCCGACGTCTACAGCCGGGAAGAGCTGGCCATGAAGGTCAACCTGCCGGAGGTCCGCGTGCAGGTAGGGAGGGCACCCGGCGCCTCTCGGCGGGGTCAGCACGGCCGGTGTGCGGCACATCTGTGCCAGGTTAAGTCTGGCCCTGCTCAGTGGCAGGGGGGGGGCGGGGGGCCCCCCCGGGCTCAGGAGAGCTTTGCTCTGCTCCCAGCTCTACCACCGTGGCCTCGCGCTGTGCCTCAGTTTCCCCCTTTCTTGAAGAGGGAGTCACGTCTCCAGCTTCCTCCTCACCTAGCCGCCTGGGTGAAAGGGATGGTTTCACTGCTCCAAGTGGTGGAAAAGCAGAGGAAAGACCAAAAAAATTCCCAAAGCTTGGCTTTCCGTTTCCCATCTCCTGCTTTTAAGGACAAAACTTCTTTGCGTTTTGGCTCAGAGTTTTCCTAGGAATTTTACCAGCTGCCTCCGTTCAAGGAGGCCTGTGAAGTATTTTACCCAGTCCTAATAATGGCACTTTAACATTTGGTGTCCTGCAGGCTGCTTTTGCAGAGCCAGTCTATAAAGGCTATGGGGCTGCAGTCCTGGGAGACTAAAATAATTCAGTGCTGAAATGCAACCAGCTCTGGGGTGGCAGAGCAAGATCATGGGTTAGTTTAGCACCAAAAATGAAAACCATGTTAAATTGATGATTTGAAGAAACTGCCAAGATCTTGGCCGCAATGGGGCTGCTGAGCTTTGCAGCTGGTCCCGTGTGGACCAAGCACGGCCAGGGCTGCATGTGCTCAGAGCAGGGCCACCTCCAGGGCTTGGCCGTGGGCCTGTGGGGGTCCAGCCCCCTCTTCTGCTCCAGGATGGCTGTGGAGCAATGCAGACGCTTGCCCTGCATAGGCCATGCATTAGGGAGATGGTCCTACCCCCACGTGTGAGGTCTCAGGATGGGAGAGAAGAGCAGAGATTTGGCTGGACAGGTCGGCGCTGCCATGGGCCTGGTGAAGGCTCAGGGCAGGCGGCTTGGCCTCCACCAAAGTGGAGCCAGACAGCACCTCTCTCCTCTGGAAACACCCTAATTAAACAGGGAGAGCTAATTATCAGCACACATACACTGCGCGAAGGACTCTCCAGTTCAGCCAGTCACTAGACAGCCTGCACAGCCTTATTGCCATTTTACAGGCAGAGAAATGGTGGCAGAGAAAGGAAGGAGCATGTCCAGGGTCTGCAGGGAGGCAGTGGGACTGAGGGGGAAAAAAAGGTCTCAGCTTTGCTCCCGTAGTTTTCCCTAGTACATTTTTCCTACAAGACATAGCACAAGGGGGAGAGCTCACTGCTGGGACGGCGGCTGTGCAGGCTGGGGAGATGTTAAGCCACCGCAGGGGAGCCTCGTTGGCTGGCTAGTGACATCCAGGCAGGGCCCATGCGGTGCCTCATTGCTTGCAGCCCCTGGTGACACACAAGAGAGGGTGACACCGTGGGAAAGCAGGGTTGGATCCAGGTTTCCTGCTTGGAGGAAGCCTTGCTCTCCATTGGAGAAGGGGACCTCGGTGTTCAGTGTGTGGAGGCTCTTAGGGTTTCATGGATTTAGGATTTTCAGGGTCTTGGAGCAGAGCTGCTGCAGTGCCTATGGCTTTAGGGGAGGGCAGGTCCTGCTGGGTAGTTGTTTTTAATCAGTCTGGCTGATATCGTGGGAAAGCAGCCAAACTCCAGCCACTCGTGATCTCTTTCAGGTCTTTAGGGCGGGCAAGCAAAGAACCTCAAAGATTTGGGCATTTTAGACATTCTGGAGTGTGACAGTTCCCGGAATATGGAATGTTTGTAAAGGTTGGAAATGTTTCTTTTTTTTCCTGGGCTTCAGGATAAAGCTTCTAGGTACGAGGCTCATTCAGAAGAAGGTCCTGCTGTCAGTGCAGGCAGGGATTTACAGTTCCTCGTGATCTGACTATCTCTGGACATCCCCTCTCTCCTCTGTGCTGGTCCCAGTGCTCCCAGAGCCAGATGACAAGTCAGGTCGGGGAACCACTCCGAGTGCAAGTGTGTCCTTTTTTAATCAAGTCGGTTTTCAGTCGGATCAGCTCCAGGCTCAGTGTCCTTGGGGCCAGGTCCCACCAGTGCAACCTGGGCACAAACAGCTGCAGGTCGGCTGGTGCTGAGCTGTCCCTGCCACCAGAGCTGTCCCCAAGGCTGGATCCATGCAGCAGCGATGTCCGAGCCCTGCTGGCATCCATGATGACCATCGCATGGTTCCCGGCTGCAGGTCTGTCCTGGGAAGCACTGCAGGGTAGAGATGGCCCCATCCAAGCTGACAGAAATGTATCCTGAGCAAACTGAGAGGACAAGGCATCTCTTCAGTTTTCACTTGCCTGCCAGTTCTGCTTTGGCCACCTGTGTCTAGGTGACACAGGGGAGGACGGTCAGAAAGTCCCTGATCCCTCCTGCCACTGGATAGGAAGTCATAAGGAGGAGGACAGGCAGGTAGGTGCACGCAGAGCCAGAGGAGGTTGTGGTATTCAGGTCAGACGGACAAAGGATAGCAAGCAAATTGAAGGAAAATGGAAAGAAAATGGAAGAATCACAAGTGTCAAAATAACCGGGAGAGACAAGAACTGATCTCCTTACAAGTGATTTGAGTGTCCCAGGCCTCAACTTCATCCTTTTTTGCACAGGTCAGAAAATGCCAAGATGATGTGGTCTTTGTCTGGGAGGGTCAGTTGAGAGGGACATCTCCATGGAGCCATCTAAGCAACAAGCAGTTTGCACCAGTATATTCCAGTATCCATGAGCAACTGTGACCGATCTGTAGGAGACAGCTCCCCCCTTCTCAGCCCAGTAGTTAATATTTATTGTCTCTGCTTTGCCAGACAGGGTGGAGGAGACCTCTCACACTGCCCTGCTCCTCCTCAGCACCAAGCCCTGTGCTGCTGTGGGCTTTGGGGACACAGTGACCAGCAAAACCCACTCATGTGCATCCCGCTGGTGTCCCCATGTGGCTTTTTGGGTGCTGGCTCTAGCTCTCTCCGTCCCATCTCTCTGCTCTTCTGCCCTCAGAAATGGGGATCCCTCAGGGATCTTTGCCCCGGGCTAGCTCATTAAAACAAACTCTTACCAAGGGGCTTTTGAAGGCTAAGTAACGTTATAACAACTGTCTGGGCCGGTTCCTCGGTCTGTGAGAGGGTCCACGCAGAGCAGTGGGCGCAAAGGCTGCCTGGGTGACACCTCTCACGTTTCAACACGTGCAGTTATATTTCTGGGGTTCATGGGAGAGGTTTAACAGAGGCACATGGCGTCCCCAGGATTGCTGGAGCCGTGGGGGGCACCCCGTCGGCAACACAGCACACAGGTAGCCTGCGTGGGGCACAGCACATGGGGCACCTCTCCTGAGGCACCCTCCATGGAGCACCGCATGTCTGGCACAGCGCATGGGACACCCTACGTGGGGCACCCTGCATAGGACACAGCACACAGGGCTCTCCATGTGGGACACCCTGCATGTGACACCCTGCCTGTGATATAGCTCATGGACACCCTGCATGGGACACCTTGCATGGGACTTAGCTCATGAGACAACCTGCATGTGACATCCCGTGTGGGACACAGCTCATGGGCACCCTGCATGGGACGCCCATGTGGGCACAGTACACAGGGCACTCTGCCTGGGGCACCCTGCATGGGCATGCTGTGTGTGACATCCCGTGTGGGACACGCTGGGCACAGTGTGGTCTCTGCAAGGTCACTGTCTCACCTCTCCCTGTGCAGGTCTGGTTCCAGAACAGGAGAGCCAAGTGGAGGCGGCAGGAGAAGATGGAGGCCAGTTCAATGAAGCTCCATGACACCCCCATGCTGTCCTTCAACCGGCCCCCCATGACAGCCAACGTCGGCCCCATGAGCAACTCCCTCCCACTGGACCCATGGCTGACGTCACCTATCTCCAGCGCCACCACGGTGCACAGCATCCCCGGCTTCATGGGCGCCCCCCAGGCCTTGCAGCCCCCCTATGGTGGGCACTCCTTCCTCAACACCCCTCCGCCAATGGCGCAGAGCATGCAGCCCATGGCCCCCGCTGCCTACCAGTGCAGCACCACCTTTGTGGACAAGTACCCACTGGAGGATGTTGACCAGAGGAGCTCCAGCATCGCCTCGCTGCGCATGAAAGCCAAGGAGCACATTCAGACCATTGACAAAACCTGGCAGCCCATTTGATGAACGCTCCCCTCCTCCCCACATCCCCCTGGCTCCTGCCCCCAGTGCCTGGTTTGGCCCCAGCACGGGCGATCCTCAGGGTGGATGAGGAGGGTGACACCAGGATGCTCCTGGTCATGATGCTGGCGCACAGGGCAGTGCCGGGGGCAGAGATGTTGGCCACATCTGCACCTCCCATTTGAGCCATCACCGGCAGTGGTAAGGAAGCAAACCAGGGTGCTGGTGAGCTCCCGGCTGCGGGCGAGCACGCTGGCAGCCTCCCAAAGCCCCTCTGTGTCCCCTCCAAGCTGCGCCACGTTGGACCACATTTGCAGATGTGTAAAGCAGCCAGAGCCGAGGCGCCATCCCCAGCCGTGGATCCTTCAGATCTTCCATCTGAATGTCCCCTCGGCCACCACCGCCCCTGGACAGAGGGGACAGCTCAGGTCTGGCTCAGGCCGCCCCCAACCTGTGCCTGGGAAGTCTGAATGTCCCCTCTGCCGCCACCGCCCCTGGACAGAGGGGACAGCTCAGGTCTGGCTCAGGCCGCCCCCAACCTGTGCCTGGGAAGTGGGGCCAGGCAGGACACAAACCTGGGGCTCCCAGCAGCTCTGGAGCCCCCGGTGCCCTCCCGGGCCCATGGGAGCGAAGGCATTTCCTTCCCATGCAGCCCTTCCCTTTCCCTTTATTATTAATTTTTTTTATGCTGCAGATTTCAACAAAAACAAACAGAAAAGCTCTAGTTTCGTAGGGAATACTCGAGGGGTATTTTTTTTTAGCTGTGTCGGGGCGTGATGTCGGTTGTGCAGGTAGATCAAACAGCACAGAGAAGATGGTTGTATCCTGAGTAAAGAGATAACTTGAATCGCTGCTGCGTGCTACGGAGTCGG